TTTCTAATTATTCTCCTAAAAGTAGGATACGATATAAGACAATAAATAATGTATTATTAAATATTAGGTGTAATAAAAAGAAATCCATTATTTTTGCATGAAATTGAATGGAAAAATAATGGATTTCTTTTTACTATACCTAATATATAATTTTATATATATATAATTTTTCTTTTACAACAATTATTAAAATTACATATCTTCTATTCTCTCATATTCGATCGTGATAAATTTTAGATCGTTTAGTCCTATCCAAAAAGTAGTTTGAAATCGAGCTCGTGTAGAGAGCGAATGATGGCTTCGAAGATGCGATTCTATTTCGAATAATGTAACAAGATGGGCGGGCGAGTGGACAGGGCGATTTAACGGCGGCATATTTTAAAGTTGGCGAAGTAATCGTATGCTGTTGTATCAAGCAATGCACAAGTAATTGACTATGCGTTCATAACGATGACACAACACGTATACTGCATGGACTTCGCATACAATGACGAGGGTAAAAACGAAAAGAGATCTTCTCCACTCTCCATCCCCCTTTATGAGATATCATCTATCCGTTTGGCGTAGGGTTCCAATGCGTGTCACACACAGGTTGATCGCTAATGAAACGAACGGAAATCGATTTCTTTATTACCGTTTTTTATATTTGTTGTGACATTTGCGACATTGCTTAAGCCTGTTCTACAATAGAATTGTAAGTTGTAAGTCGTAAAAAATTGGCCAACCACAATTAAATATGATAATAATAAATGATTATGATTGATTAATTTCTTATGGCTTATGACTTTGTGACTCTATTGTAGAATAGGCTTTAAAGAAATCTTTCTTCGTGCCATGCGAGATGTTTCGTCGATCAAGCAATTTACACGACAAAAGGGACCGTTTCTAATTGGAATTACAACATGTGACATACACGTATTGTATATTACGTATATATATATATATATACATATATATATTCTCTAAATTTTTTTGGAGTAAAATCTCACTCTAAAGATTGAAAATTAAGCTGGTCTTGGAAAAGAATAATTCAATTTTCAATTTTTGAGAGTTAGATTTTATTCTTCGGAATGACAATTAGCTCTAAAAGTCTTAGTCAAAAATATTAGATATTTTATTAATCATTATTTAAAGTTTTAGCTGAAAAATTGATTTATGGCATTTGCTGTAAATTATTCTTTGTTTCAAAAACCTTTTAAATTTATATACAATGCCAGTAATCAATAGATAACAATACAGGTAAAAGAATTGCAAATAAATAAAAACTAGGTGTCTAATATTTTTGACCAATACATACATAATACATACGAACACGTTATATTGACTAATTACACATTTATTGGATGTACTCAACGAATCGTTTATTGACAAGTAGACTGACAGGCGGAAGATAGCTGGAAGGGTAGATGGGAGCGAAAAGAAGCAGGCAAAATTCATTAGAGAATTGAAACAAGGGGGAGAGGAGTCGGAGGATACGTGAATAAGTAACCGCACCAAGGAGAGACCAAATTATATCACTTAATGAGATATAATTACCTATTTGCTTTGTATTTATTTTAATCGTTAATTAATTATTGTATTTATTGGCGCGGAGGCTGATACGCATATGCATAATTTTCGGGAGACACGTTAATCATATGAAAACACGCACACATACAAATGTGCTCGGCCGAGTCACTATCACCCAGATTATCCGAAGAAATTATTAGAAACCTTTTAATTGTTATAAAAAAGCTTTGATGTTTATTCTTGTTGAGCAAAATGACTCAAGTACAGAACGACTGAAGGGATAGACTCGCATGTGAACCATCGAACCAAAAGAATCTCTCTTCTATTTTCTTTCTATCGTTCTTTTTATGTAATAGAGATCGATCAGCAGAAAGCGTTAAAGTGTCACGCGAAAGCAATGCGTGATTTATAACAAAATATAACGATTTAAAAATTTAATATCGTGGGACTGAAAAAAATTCACGTTTTTCTACAAAATTATATTAGACGTAAATGTTAAAAACTTGTCATTATTGATCGTTAAAGTATAGAAAAGCGTAATAGAGTTTGATTTATTTTGATGCCACTGCGATCGAACTTTACTATGCCCAAATTTGGGATCATGCAAAAAATATATTGCGTTAATTATGTAAATAATGAAAAATCTATCACATTTCAATCTTTTTAACTATTTTAATGATATATTGTGAACAATGATTGACATTTTCGGCCGTGCGCATTGTTCATCGTAGCAATACAACTTCCTCGTTAATTGCGAATTATTTATTTCGTCGTTGGTATACACATACACAAACAACATTTTCGACATTGTAGCGGAGGGAAGGAAGTACAAAATTTACACATAGCGAACGCACGAAGTGACTTGTAATACTCCTTCGACGAATGTATCTTGTAAACGTTCCAGATGCCTCACCTTGTACACCAAGTAATCAATATAAACGCAGAACTTTAATAGTTACACTATTCCATCCCCCTTTATTACTCACGTTGCCAAAAAGAAATTCCGTGCGAATTGTCATAAAAAAAAAAGAGAGAAAAAGGACGATTGAGATGAATCGTTCCTCGTCAACGTACTCTTCTTTTTTTTTCAATTTCCTTTCGAGAAATCTCACCAATTTATTTTCGGTCGATCGTAATGCGAGTCGAAGACTATTTCTTGATTCTATTTTAATTTTGCTCCGTATGCGTCTGATCAGCTAATATTTTTCGTCACTTTGCACACATTTCATTTTTCTTTTTGCTTTGCGAAAACGTGTTGCGAAAAACGCTTATTTTTTTAACGAATCAGCGCAGCCTTTGACTCTTATACCATATGCAAAGAGAGGAAGACAAAATAATAATAAAACGTATCACGTGAGACAACGGCGACAGGGGAGATAAAACGTGGGAAGAGAAAGACCCGTGACAATATATACATATACATATATATATCTATATATTTGCGAGATATTTTGTGAAACAGGGCTTTTTTACCTATTTTATAGTAATCTCAGCTTAAACGGATTGAGAGAGTGGGAGCGA